ACAAAGAACCAATGAAAAACTCCCTTTAAAAAGGAGGGAAAAGAGAAGTAACATACTACATGGCCTACTTGTAAACAGCCAGAAGGTAAAAACTGATCTAAGAAAAATTCTAACTACAAAAGAACTAAAGAGTACTAAGTAGAACTAAACAGAATAATATAGATAAATAGAATTATTACAATAGGACTATACTAGACTGTAATAACTACAATTAGAACCTAATGGAATATAATAGCATGTGTTTTGGGAAGTAAAAGGCTAGTGAAAATGAATTAACTTCAGTTTCCACGCCAGAAAGTCAAATATGGTGCCTAAAACTGAAAAACCAAAACATAGCAAAATTATTTAATGATATAAAGGTAAGAAATGTGAGATTGGGGCAGTGCCTGAGGTGCAAGGAGTAGGGTGCAAGCCCCATATGCCGGATGCATATGGCAGGCTGCAAGCTCAGCCCTGGCCAAAAACTGAAAAAAAAAAAAATTAGATTGAAGAGTTGAAAGTGGTTGCCTCTGAGGAGTGCAAGACTTGGTGCTTTTTAGAATTATTTGCATTTTTTACACTAAGTACACAACACTAAAAATCAAAGGAACTTTTTAAAGAAATTTTTTTTAAGACAAGAGTCTCACTCTGCCACCTGGGCTAAGCATGCCATGGCCTCAGCCTAGCTCTCAGAAACCTTGGATTCCAGGACTCAAGCAGTACTCCTCAGCCTCCTAAGTAACCGGGACTACCGGCATATTCCACCACCCATACCCGGCAAATTTTTCTATTTTCAGTAGAGATAGATCCCACTCTTGTTCAGGCTGGTCTCAAACTCCTGCCATCAAGCAATCTTCCTATCTCGGCCTTCCAGAATGCTAAGATTTGAGATGTGAGCCACCATGCCTGACCAAAAAGTACTTATTTTTAAAAGATAGCTTCCTGTAGCTTACAAAATAATAAAATTAGAATCCTAAGAGCACCACTTACAGCAACGTGTTAAAGGGTTATCCCATTAATAGAAGAAGATCATTAATGATCTCTTACTGGTATTCATATTGATAAATACCATTATCATCATATTGATAAATAAGAATAACCT